ACATCAGCGCTCACTAATCTGGTCCAACAATCACCTGATTTGCACCTGTACATGATGATTAGGAACCTCTGTTGTCTAATGCTCAAAGGGTCGTACACTGCAGCCCCCCCCCCCCCGTAACCCGAGATAACATCTAACTGATGCACTTAAACAGCAACACACAAAATGCTGACTGAAATTTACGTCGGTACTGGCCTTTTAGTCTCCACTGGAATTAGATGTTTTCTGCCTTGTCAACTTAGGGGAAGAACTTAACGCTGGAACTTTCAAGAATCTGGACTCGGATCCCTAACTTGAGTATAGTCAGAAAGAGGGCACGTGTGTGTGTGTGTGTGTGTGTGTGTGTGTGTGTGTGTGTGTGTGTGTGTGTGTGTGTTCTCTCGATACTGTATTGCTAAGCCATCCATATCCTAACCTAACCTGAAACTGAAATATATATATAAATCTTTCACAAAAGCTATAAATAATAAGTGAGTTTACGATCCTACGTTTGGCAGCTCTACTAGTTGGTGATGGTACTGAATGTAATAAAGTGTCACTGCTCGCTACATAAAGTCGGCATTTTTTTTTCCTACGTACATTTATATTCATGTCTGGCTTTGAGACACATCTACCTGTTTGTAGATAACTGAGACAAGAGTGCGTAGTCTAATCACTAACTTGAGAAATCACTGCACCCGTACAGTTGTTTATGGCTTAGAGGTTTAACTCAACATATAGCCAAGTCCAGATGTGTGTGTGTGGTCAAAATAGCCAAGTTCAGGTATGTGTGTAGTCAAAATAGCCAAGTTCAGGTGTGTGTAGTCAAGAGGCAGCAGGTGTGTAGCTCGACTTAGGCCGCGGGTTTGGCCGGGTAGCCAAACGGTTATGACCGTATATGCCGCCGTGTCATTAATTACCAGGGATGATGGCTATCAGAAACACGGTCCCGACGGTGTTATGTACAGCCCTCCTTCTCTCTCCTCTCCTCTTACCTCCTCTTCTCTCTCTTCTTCATTCCTTGCACAGTATTCTCTCTCATCCCAGGCTTTCTCTTCCTCCTCGCCAGTCTTATTCCCACTCCTTTTATCCAAATCCTCTTCCCTGATTCTTCTTCCCATCCCCTACTCATCCTATCTCAATTCTACCATCCCCCTCCCCCCACCTACCCCATCCATCCCATCCATCCCAATCCTCAGTCCACTTCTAGTCCTCCCTCTCCGTCCCTGTTGTTTCCCGTCGTCCCGTGATTCACCACCTCGTACCAAAACATTGTTGTCGTCGTCACTTGGCGTGTAGCCCAGCTGTTATGAGGCTGTGTTGATGTAAACAAAAGTCACCCGAGCCACAACATCTGACTCATTCACACCGACCTGTTGCCTGTGTTGTGTCTCTTACGTACCACACCGTTTAATGTTTATCTTTATTATGTTTGTTTATCGTTGTTTTACCGTATCATTTCACCGTTTTCTTGCGATAATATTTTTTTTTTCTTTCGTCTTACTTACGATATCTTGTTTGCCTGTAGAGTGAGTGAGTGAGTGAGTGAGTGAGTGAGTGAGTTGTGTGGATATCTTGAGGTGATGGTGGTGGTGATAGGACCTACGAGAACAGAAGTAGTATAGTAATGATAAGTTATTAATTCAGGAATATACCAGCTACCAAAAATAGTGTTTGTTCCAATGTCGTTATTACTATTACTAAGAGTGACGGTAATAGCAACTGGGGTTCATCGTTACTAAATTCAGCACACTACATATTTGTGTTTGAGTTAGTCTCTGTACTTTGCTGCCATGTGTATAAATCATGTAGTAAATCGCTTCACGCTCTGGATCTTGATGGGACACACACACACACACACACACACACACACACACACACACACACACACACACACACACACACACACACACACACACACACACACACACATATACACGGGGAACTCTGATTTAGCTTCTGTTGTTAGATGGCATCAATCAGTTTACAATTCCCTTGAGAGAGAGTTATAGAAGCTGGTGAAGGTCTGGTCATATTTTATTATACTGTGGTCCACCTCAAGACTAATTTTAAAAGAGTTTTTGGCACGATAAATATACTGGACATAATCACATGTATTGGAACATAATCAGATGATATACCGATATACCCGTTTTTCAAATTCAGGTCTTTTTATTCTGCCTCGTACCTAACTCGGTAAGGCGGGTCATAATTCACAATTACAAATAAGAATATCGCATTGGTTTGGTCCATAAAAATACGTGATGTATAAAGGGGTTTAAAAGTAATATCTGGCTTCAATGTGTTGCCCTGGCGGTGGGGCAGTAAACTAGTGTGATGTGTGTGAGAGTGTGTATTAAACTGGCGTCTTTTCACATCCACGTTAAGTATCCAGTCTTGGTCGTCATGAGTTGAAGTTCGACCACCTGTGCTGGTCATTTGCCTGGGGCTGATGTTGTCCTCCCTAATGGCTGGCTGGTCGGGTGAGCCCCCTCCCTCTCTCCCCTCACCCCCCTCCCTCTCCCCCTCCCCCCTCACCCACTCCCCCTCCCCCCTCCCCCTCAAAGATTCCGATGCTGAATCTTCACTTTTCTGAACGACATACACTCATACAGTCTATGGTAACAGGTGTCACTGAACTCACTAAGGCAGCGATACAAATATAGTTATCAAAATTAGCTTCTTAAATCCACTGAGGCTGACATGACTGGTATAATTTATCTCAAGTCTGTTTAAGAAAGGAGAAAAAAAAATAAGATTAATTTAGAATCTGGATCCTGACTATTATTAAATCGTTGTTTGTATCCAGTTTTTCATAATAAAGCTTGAATATCGCGTCTCGTTACCTTGGATGTGTAGTTAAGTGGTGGTGATCGCGTTTCTGTGTGTCGTTAATATGATGACGTGTCGGTTTAGGAAGGCAGTGAGGGGGCGATAATGAGGGAGATGACGCTGTTAGTATAAATATATATATCACATCTGTTAGAGTTACCTGTATGGTCTATTAGCTGGGGGGCCTCTTACCATATGGCCTCCAAGACCCCCCCCCCTCCTCCTCTCCCATACACCACCTGTGAGAAGCTGTGTTACGGAGCTTCAGTATGTTATAATGACAATAGAAATCATCATGTACAGTAACTCTTGATAGATAGATAGATAGATGGATAGATAGATAGATAGATAGATAGATAGATAGACTTTTCCACATGGGTGAGGGAACGCCGGGAATTCCACATGGGTGAGGGAACGCCGGGAATTCCACAGAACATGATGAGCACCAAATTGCCACACGGGTATTTCATAAATCGTTCATGATATCGTTCTTGTTAGTAACTACAGAATGTATGAGAGTGTAGTCAATTTAGGTGTCCTGGTAATGAACTCTACACACGCATTCACACCTCGTGGGTATATTTCACTCTACACTTCATTAATTCGTACCTAAATAAACGCATCGATCCATAATTGCTTTAAGATTGCTTCGACAAAACTTGAAAATGACCCCCTTCTCTCTCTCCCCTCCCCCCTGAAAAAAAAAGATATCTACCAGGTGAAGGTATCAAATCCCCAGGTAATATTGGTATTCTAAACAGGTAATTACTCTTCTATTAAGCGATTAAGTAGTGTGGATTTATTTGCTACAGAACTAGTAATCCAGAGTGGGTATTAAATCCACTTTAGAGTGACCTCCCTGGGGATCCTTTAGTCTGGTCCAGATTGGCTGTGTCTCCACGTCTCATTAATTTGTTGAAGTGTTCATTTTTTACCTGAGGACTCCCTATAATGAGATAGGTGAGGCGGGTAGGGGAACAATGACTAATGACTTACACCGCTTCGCCATGACTCCTAATCTGCCTTTATCAAATTCCTGTTAAATTTAATCTTGTTGTGTGGAACAGGTGCTATTAGTTATGTTGTGGCAGAGAGAGAACAACACGAGAGGAAGTAAAGTGACTGGCTGGCTGGGTGGTGGTCATAATGTGACGATAGTGGTGTGGTATGGCTGTGTGGTGGTGGTAGTGGTAAGAAAAGTAGCTTATTGTAGTGTAGTTAAGGGTAATAGCTTTATTTTTGTGATGTTGCTGTGTTTGTTTTGATCCCTAAATGGTGTGACAGGGTAGTAACATTGTGTTGGTGGTGACGGTGATTTAATATTGGCTGTGATGTGTTGATGGTGATGTGTTGTTAGTGATGTGTTGATGGTGATGTGTTGATGGTGATGTGTTGATGGTGATGTGTTGATGGTGATGTGTTGATGGTGATGTGTTGATGGTGATGTGTTGATGGTGATGTGTTGATGGTGATGTGTTGATGGTGATGTGTTGATGGTGATGTGTTGATAGTGATGTGTTGATAGTGATGTGTTGATGTGATGTGTTGATGGTGATGTGTTGATAGTGTTGTGTTGATAGTGATGTGTTGATAGTGATGTGTTGATGGTGATGTGTTGATAGTGATGTGTTGATAGTGATGTGTTGATAGTGATGTGTTGATGGTGATGTGTTGTTAGTGATGTGTTGATGGTACAGATGTTACTGGTGTTTATGTTGCGGGTAATCATGGTGGTGAGGTATGCATAGGTAATATAATGTAAGAACTTTTGTCAGAATCGTGATCACTTTAATTTATGTATGTGTGTGTGTGTGTGTGTGTGTGTGTGTGTGTGTGTGTGTGTGTGTGTGTGTGTGTGTGTGTGTGTGTGTGTGTGTGTGTGTGTGTGTGTGTGTGTGACTTTAAGATCAAATAGAATGTGTTGTTACCGCCGTCAGTGGTCGAGGAAGGGAGGGAGTTAGTTGTGGTCGTTTTTGTCGTGTGTCGAGGTCTTTAATTTATCCTTGAACCGTTGACCTTGACCTTTGACACTCATTACTAGAATTAATCTTGGTCTTCCTTAACTAGGTATAATTGGTGTTGTTTTATTTGAACTGGTTATTGTTATTGTTCATGTATTTATTTACTTGATATAACCCGTTGTCGTGTCCGCTATACCACCGTCTCATGTACTGTTTCTCCTCCTACAGGCAACCTGCTGGAGTCCCTCAAGAACAACGGATTGGGAGGGAGTGAGGGGAGTGGGGAACCGCCCACTCCCCCCCACACACCCCAGCGAGAGAACGCCCACATAGTGTCTAATGAAGGGTGTGCCAGCCGCCCACCCTTGCCCCCACTAGACCCTCTTCATCAGCAGGCACTACAGGCCAGAGTAAGTAACCCACAGCCTTTTTCTTTTTAATCTTCGCCGAAAATAACTAATTATATCAGAATAGATGACCTTTATTTTCTTCGTCTATCTCAATCCGTTGCTTTTGGGGTTATATAAAGAGTTCAGAGGTGACACAATACTGTTTTTTGAACCTGTGTGTATAGACCTTAATGGTGTCTTAAGGGTTAAACATATTATACAACTGTCATGTCGAGTGTATGAATCACTGTCATGTCGAGTGTGTGTGTGAATCTCTGTCATGTCGAGTATGTGAATCTTTATGGTGAACATTATTTAACATTACTTAGTAGCCACGAGAAAAGATCACATCTGGCATGACACGAGTGATTTTTTCCCCCCCATGGACCCACTACTAACATCAGCTGTACAAACACACGTTCAGAAAAAAAAAATCCTGTCACCTTTGAATCACTAAAGTACCTCAACACCATCTTTAAAGACACTGTTATCCGGCTGTCTTCCTTCTTGTTAATCATTTTATTATCGTTTACTTCACGTTGGCACATCATTAGGAACTAGACAGTATATATTACACCTCCGCTTTGCTTAGTTCCACGTGCGTGTTGTTGTTGTCCTTGAACACCCTCACGCGGAAATGAATATACGGAGTTTAGTTTTCTTATCTGACGAGAGAGGATTTGAGTCGCTTTTACGCCGATTTGTTTTATATTTATCCCAATTTTTAAGTTATATTGGATAGATCTCTTTCCTATTCGGCACGTGCTTGAAGATCCCTTTAGGCACGAATGCACGATAGGGAACTTTGCGATCAGATTCACTTTTGCTGACCGGCTGCCAGTTAAATGGTTAAAGGCAGCTGATGATACCCATAGTCTGATGCCGAAGTCATTTACGTAATTTCGGTTACCCATAAAGGGGATAAGTAGGCCACGTTATGTTTGATTGTCGGTCCATTTATAAACAAGCTAATGCTTTTGAAGTATGACTTAATATATATGTGTGTGTGTGTGTGTGTGTGTGTGTGTGTGTCCTCTACATGAACACACACATATTCACTATCAGCGCACAAGACAGAGAGGTCTACCAACAAATTCCTATATTATTGTACAGAACAGCGTCTATAAGTGGCAGTAACTTCTACACACATTGTTGTTTCATGTTACCTTATACGTTATATGAAAGAACGTACAAGTAAATTTTCTCCGTTCGTGCAAGACTCCGTTTCAGAGCAGAGAAGAGCAGACATACAGTCGCCATAGGTGTGTTGGGGACCTCCGAGGCAGGTAGAGGTGCGTATCGTGATTTAAGACTAGGAGATAAAGGTACACTCTTGGGGTCTCGCCGACGTGACACGACGCGATGTCCCCGCCTTCTGCTGCGACTGTACCTCACCGCACGACTCTCTGGGGGCTTGTCCGAGGAGTCTGGTGCACGGAGACAGCGCGATTGGCTCTCTCCCTTGTGGTCGTGCTCACCCTTTGCACGGTGGCAGGACGTGCACAATGGCTGGGGTCGTGCACGATGTGGCGGGGGCGGTAATGAGGCCGTTTGTATGCGAGTAACACAGTCGGGCTGCGGCGACCCCGACATGCGTGCGGCCAGACCACGCTTCTCCTCCGTCAGACGGGCCAGTGTGGTAGGACCTTTCTCCTTGGCCACACTACCCGGACCACACTCCCTGGGCCACATTGCCCGGACCACACTCCCTGGGCCACATTACCCGGACCACACTCCCTGGGCCACATTACCCGGACCACACTCCCTGGGCCACATTACCCGGACCACACTCCCTGGGCCACATTACCCGGACCACACTCCCTGGGCCACACATTACCCTGACCACACTCCCTGGGTTACAGTACCCGGACCACACTCCCTGGGCCACACTACCCGGATTACACTAGCTAGTTCCACGCCACCCCAAGGCCACACGAGCTAGGCCACACCAGCTGGGCCACACTACTCTACCTTCCCTTCCCCACCAACTCTTATGGTGAGATAAGCCACACCCGTAGTGTCAAGCTGGAACCTTTATAAACACCTGACCCTTACACCTAAGTATTTCCTGGTTACACAGAAACCGTAACTTGACTATCCTAACTTAACGTAACTTGAGATTTCTTAACTTAACCTAATGTTAATTTAATTAACCTAACGTAACATAAACTTAACTTACTCGACCTAAACTCAGTCAAACTTTACGTAGTTTAACATGACCAAACTAACCAAACTTAAGCTAATTTAACTTAGGTTAGCCTCGTTAACCTCAGAAATTATCCTTATTTCACTAAACTTAACCAAGGTAAACGTGGTCTAATTTAACGCAATAAAATATACTACAAGATTTTTAATTATATGAATTAAACAAAACCTAATTTAACCTTCTTCAAATTATCCTTATTTAACCAAACTAAAGCTAACATAAACTAACCAGAAGTAATTTGATAAAGTATAACAACCTAATCTAACCTAACTTAACCAATCCTGTCGCAAGTTGGCTTAAACCAACCTGAATGAACTTAATCTAATCCAACCTAAAGTAAGTTAACGTAACCCAACCGTCACCTAAGTTAAGTGACCTAACCTTGGAGTAATGGGAGTGTAGAAGTTTATAATTGTAGAGTAGGATAATGTGGGATGTACTCGCTGCCACCCAGTGCTCACCTCCTGCCTGCCTCCCAGTACCCGCCGCCCCCTACCCGCTGCCCATTGCTAGCCACCAGTACCCACCGCCCAGCATCCGCCGCCCTGAGAGGCCTGAGGGCGGAGCACAAGTTATGGTGGTGGTGGGGCCATGTTGGGCTCAAGTACCAAAATACGAGACGGCGCGAGGAATTTCTTGGTTTGATTTACAATAATCAGACTTCAGTGGGCGCCTAGTAAAGTGAGATATCTCACTCAGGTGCACTTTAATGGACACTTGAAGCTACGCCTACTTACAGCACCTCGTTGGAGCCTCTTAATCAGAGCGAATTATCAAAGGATCTGCTTCATGATGGGGAGTTTGGTATTTAGTGTGGTGTTGCGCTCCAGGGCCGGCCCACCCCCCGCCGCTCACCCCCACCTCGTCTGGACATTAATAATATTCGCTGACAGCCGCGTTGTGTACACTGAGGCAGACCAGGCACGCGCCCTTCTGCTCCTCGCCCCTTACCCACGCCCGCGCCAACCTGCTCCTCCTCCAGCCTCGCCACTCAGCTACCGGGGGCTTCATCGTCGGGAGGGAGAGGTCAAGGGGTCCCTCAGATCGTCCCCCCACCCCGCTCTCCAGGCTACGGTGGGCTGGTTGTCTCGCCCGTCTGGAGCGAGGGACGGGGTCGGCCGCCTGCAGGAGGGGAGCTTCCGTAATTAACACCAACTTGGCTAGAAGAACTGGCGCTGATAAGAGTCTTGTAGATGGCTCATTTTGCGGCAAGCTCGGGGCGTTTACTGCCTCACATTTGCATGCGCTACACAGCACGGCGCGGGGCTCTAGCGACTCCTTATCGAGAGCACAAATAGAACAAGCCTTACCAGGGCTAATGAGGCATTTTTATTCATGTTCAAGTGAGTGCGTTGAAAATACTATGTGACACAGTTTCCACCTGTAGCGCTTCACTCTCCCCCAGGACGTCCCCCACCACCACACACAAACACAGACACGTGGTAGGTGGTGCAGGGACCGCCGCCTCCCCCTCCACCACCCCCCAGACGTCCAGCTCCCGGGTTTGAGGGAGGCCGCTGAGGTCACTGGCACAGGGGAGCCGCGCCAGCCTCCACCTAGGGTATCTCTGGTCCTTACTGTATCAAAAATTATAACCTTTCTTTTGTTTATCCCTCTGTTTACCACATAGCAAACATAATTGTACGAACTATCAGTTAATTATTATGATAATGTGGAAGAGACCCTGGGACAGTGTCCGGCTTAGCACAATGGGTCTGGCCAGGGAGAAACATCACCTCTCACCGCCAAACTAGTTTATCAGCGTGACGCAGTCTCCCAGCCGTCCCGCTAATTGGCTCCTTAATTTCCACGTATCAGTGATGTTACATGTCGGGGCAGCGATGCGATAGAGCGTCGCCTGATCCAAACACACTCATCACAAGTTCCACAACGGACGGCTGAACTAACAAGTGATCCATCTTGAGCGTATCAAGGTTGTCATCCGGCGCGTGTCAGCAGCAGCTACAGGGAGACAGGTCCCGTCTAGCCCCGTCCACACACTGACGGGGTCTCACTTAAACGTTTCTCTCCGGAGAGACAGTAACCAAGACTCCAGGAGACTTGGCCTTGGCAGCCTCCCTCACACGCTCTTGATACATGGCGATAACTTGAGTTGAGAGTGACAGCTTCGGCGTGAGTTGTGGAGAAGAACAATGGTCAGGAATGAGGAGACGGCCTACCCCCTAGCTAAAATTATCCCCTGGACGTTACCTACAATAGTGTGTTGCTGCCCGCCTGTGAATTACGGTAATGGCAAACGGGTAACTTGAGGTCATGTGAGCCTCTCTCTCAATACCTAGGCTGAAAAGGGTGCACAATATCAACAAATGAACTCCCTCTTGTTGTTAAGGAAGGAACAGTGTGGAAAGTTTAACACGATTACAAGGATTGAAAATTACTGTCTTGTTTTAAAAGTGAACAATGGATAAGACAGCTCGACACATTATTCTACAAAAGAGGCAACTTTTTGTATACATCATCACCATCTAAGAATCCATTATATCTCGAAGCGACTTTTGTTAATCCAGAAATTAATGTTAACCTCAAGCAAGGAATATATAATACAGGACAACTGAGGATAACGGTCTCTTCTGTCTGGGTCAGTGACTGTATTTTAAGCCGCACCCTCAAGTACATCCTCCACGACCGACGAACATTATCAGCTACGTCAAGGCAGGCGGCAGGGGCTGAACAAACGCTGTCAGATATATATCGTATACAGAGGCATACTTATAATGTGGATGTGTTTTGATTATACTCTCAATGTAATAAGTCTCTCTCAGGTGGAGGGAGTTACGATCCTGTGACGTCACCT